CCGAAAGTCGAAATTCACAAAACTCGAAACCATTTTCCCCATAAGAAATAATGGAAATAAAATTAATCCGTTCCAGACACCCAAAAATATTAAAATAATTTTTTTTTTTCAAATTAAATAAAGATTTATGTACTGAAATCAATGAGAAATCAAGTACATGCATATAAAAAATAATAACATTACACTTACCCTTACTGAAGACTTCTGGGTGGATGGAAGACAGGAGGAGGGGATAGGAGGAAGTTGTACACTATTGTTTGGAAGGAGAATCTCCTTCCATTAGGACTTTAGGTAGCAAGTCCTTATCTGGGGTTACTTCCCTTCTTTTAATGCCACTGGGAACAACTTGAGGGTCACTGGGCCCCTGTTGCACAAAATATCAATCCAGAGAGGTCTTTTTCTGGCGTTTCTTTAAGATTTTCCTGAAGTGGGACACAACACTGTCATTGTACATGTTGCAGATATGGCTTGTTTCAGCTTGGTCAGGGTGATACTTTTCAACAAAACTGCAACTCATTCTTTGCAACTCAAGTGGAACAGAATTCTTCCTCCGTAAGCCATGCGTATTGTAAGAGGCGACTAAAATGCCGGGAGCAAGGGGCTAGTAACCCCTTCTCCTGTATATATTATTAAATTTGAAAGGAGAAACTTTCGTTTTTCCTTTTGGGCCACCCCACCTCGGTCGGATACAGCTGGTATGTTGAAAGAAAAGAAGATATATATATAATGTGTGTTATAGGTAGTAGGCTGGTAGACAGCAACCACCCAGGGAGGTACTACCGTCCTGCCAAGCGAGTGTAAAACGAAGACCTGTAATTGTTTTACGTGATGGTAGGATTGCTGGTGTCCATTTTTCTGTTTCATGAACATGCAAGGTGGGATACGGCCGATTTGTTGAAAGAAAGAATATATATATATATATATACATGTATATGGGCAAGGGGCTAGTAACCTCTTCTCTTGTATAAATTACTAAATTTAAGAAGAGAAACTTTTGTTTTTCTTTTTGGGCCACCCTTTGTTGAAAAAATATATATATATATATACACACACACACATGCATACATACACATACAGGAAATAAGGACAGAACTTTTTTTTTTTTTAAGAGCACTATCATAGTGTATTCCAGGATTTTTCTAAATGATCTTAATTCTGGCAAAATAAATAAAAAAAAATCACATCTTTCTCTTCATATTAGAACTTAAAAAAAAAAATGTTCTGTAGTAGTTTTAAGTTCTGGCATTATGAAGTCCAAAATAAAATCTGTATTTAACCTTAAAATTACTCTAGGATAACACTATAATTATATGGATGCTTGTCGTATATACTCGGGTATAACTTGACTCCACGTATAGGTCGGCCCCTGATATTTTCCCCCAAAATATTTATTTTTTTTATATTCTAATTGATAAGTCTATCCTAGTGTTTGAGGGACTTTAACCCTTTCAGGGTCCAAGGCCCAAATCTGGAGTCACGCACCAGTGTCCAAGAATTTTCAAAAAAAAAATTTGTTATTTTTTCTTATGAAATTGTAGAGAATCTTTTTGTGAAGGTAATAAAACAAAAAGTACGAAATTTGGTGGAAAATTGACGAAATTATGCTCTCGCGAATTTTGATGTGTCAGCGATATTTACGAATCGGCGATTTTGTCGACTTTGACTCCCATTTTAGGCCAATTACATTATTCCAATCAACCAAATTCTTAGCTATTTCACTAGTATTCCTTCTATTCTATTGATTGAGCACAAGAAATCGCCAAGTCAACTGTTTCAACTACAAAATAAAGTGATCAGAAATTGTTAATTTGGCCAATTTAACACAAAGTTTAAAATATTCCAATTTCAAAATAGGGTCCAGAATGAACAATGTAGGCATTCCTGGCACTAAATTAACATTTCCTCTGTTCATTAGTTATGTTTTGAGGCTTTACAAATAAATTCCATTTTGATTTTTTATTCACATAATGAATTTTTATTCACACCAAAAAATAGAAGATTTACTGTTATGCAATACTGTAATAATTGTATAAATATCATCACCATATTTGTGAATGTATATTAGACCCACCAGCTGACGTGTATTAGACGTGTGAGGTCGTTTGTTTACTCTTGAATATCAGCAAAAATTTAACATTTCTGCTACTTTGAGCTCAGTTTCAAGCCATTTCCAGTGCTAAAACCAATCCAAATCATCTCTATTTCTGTAATATGTCTTCCATTCTATCAAATGAGACCAAGAAATCGCAAATACAACTATAAAAAACATACGAAAAAACACTGCAAAGTTGCTGTTTTAATCGAAAAATCATGATTTCATTTTTTTTCTCTCATTATACACAGTGTGCTGCAGGATCTGTTTTATGTGGTGCACACATACCACATAGATGTATTCTCTCATATCTAGGCCCAAATGTACCACTCACAGTTTATCAGAGTGAGCTGAGCTCATGGCGTAGATCTACGGTTTGGACCCTGAACGTAAAGCCGTAGATCTACGGGACGGACCCTGAAAGGGTTAAAAAAGGTCACATGGTTCCAAAATATAACCAAAACTTGGGAGGAAAGAGGGGCAGTGTAATGAAAATGACAATTAATAAAAGTAAAGGAACACTGCAGCAGGCTTACAGGTTCATTCTAGGCAAGTCTTGCCCAGATCCAACCTTGCTTACTCATGTATTTGTCCAGCTTATTTTTAAAGTTACCCAAAAAATTAGATTGTGATTCAGGGTGGGGGTAGGGCCTCCATCTTTTTTTTTTGCCTCCTTCCCTCCTCTGCCTCTCTCCTTCTTTTGATTATTGAAACTAAAACTATGGGTAACTTTAAAAGTAGGTTGGAGAAATATATGAATGAGGAAAGGTTGCATTTGAGTAGGACCTGCTTAGTATGGGCCAGTAGTCCTACTGCAGTACTCTGTTAGGTAAACAAGTGAAGAAAGAGATCATAATGAACTATTGGATATTATCAAATTTATTTGTATATTTAAGGTGGAATATGCTTACCGAGTGTAGCTTATGTCTTGATGCTGTACCAAAGTATGAATCTAGTTTGTGGTAGGCCCTCAATATGTCAGAATTTCAACCTTTTAAGAGTATCCATGAATAAATTGACCCTCAACTTATTTCTTAAAAAAAATTGGTCTTAAAATCTCAACCCATACATGGGTATGTACAGTAATTTGAAAGTAAACAATTTTTTTTCGTTCTTACTAAATGGTGTGGAAATGTATTAATTTAAAAACTAAAAATAGCAGTAGTACTTGGTATCTGAATGACATATATATTAACTTCAGTTATGTGTACAGTTTGTAAATAATCCTTAACAGCAACATAATTGTTTTGTTTCAAGGTGGAGACTTCCATTAGCCATTCAGTAAATTAGTATGCAGTATTTATTAGTGCTGTCATGGGGAAGTGTTGCACCCCTAAGGGCCCAAAAGAGCCTTGAGTATTAGATAATCATGTTCAATCCAAGGAAGGGATGAAGGTAGCTCCAATTCCTTGGATCAAAAGGCCTTCATCACCAAGGCATTCCATCCCTTGATGGGTACAGTGCTTGATCATGTACAGTAAATTTTAAAAGTTTCATAAAATAGTCGATGCTTGTATATATTTACCAAATCCAAGTCTACCAATAAACAGAACCTTCTTACCTTTTTTATTCTTAGCCCAACCATTAATATAAACTAGATTTTCACTAACACATAATCACTGATTTGTATTTTTGTGAGCTTTACTAGTAAAATATTTACCTATACTTTAGTACTAATATGGTGTTCCAAGGCATTCTGTTTCATTTAACTAAAATTTTTGGCAAATAAAAATATTATTGGTCATGTTTTCTATATTTATCATATTTAAATATGTACTTTGTAAAAACAGCTACAATTTGACAAGATTAATTGGTGATATGGTCCTCTTATGTATAATTCTTAATGCTAAAAGTGTTGAATGGTGAAAGTGTTGAACAATGCTGAAAGTTTTTTTCTTTTTGAGTTTTTCTTTTTGGGTCCCCCTGCCTCGGTGGGAAATGGCCGTTAAAAATAAATAAATAAATGTGTGTGCGTGTGTGCTCACCTAGTTGTGGTTGCAGGGGTCGAGTCATAGCTCCTGGCCCCACCTCTTCACTGGCTGCTACTGGGTCACTCTCCCTGCACCATTAGCTTTATCATACCTCTGCTTAAAGCTATGAATGGATCCTTCCTCCACTACAATGCTTCTCAAACTAGTATTCTACTTCCTGACTACTATGTGACTGAAGAAATACTTAATAACATCCCTGTGATTCATCTGTCTTCAAGTTCCAACTGTGTCCCCTTGTTGCTGTGTCCCATCTCTGGAACATTGTCTCTGTCCATCTTGTCAATTCCTCTCGGTATTTTATATGTTATCATGTTCCTCCTATCTCTCCTGTCCTCTAGTGTGTGCGTGCGTGTGTGTGTGTGCATGTCGTGCCGAATATGTAAAACTTTTGATTTTGGCTTATACGTATAGCAACGCACTTCTTGCCGAATAGGGCAAGCAAAAAATTTGTGTATGCAATAATTTCACAGAAATCATTCTGAACCTAACAAAAAAAATATATTTCATTGTGTTTGTTTATTATTAAATTATTATGAGCTTGTATAAAATATATTTAGTTGGATTGGACTAAATTAAACTGTGCTTGTTATAATAAGGTTAGGGAAGTTTCCTTAGGTTCTTTTGGTACAATTTTTTTTTTATTTTTACATTAACACAAATGCAAAAATAAATCTTTAAATGTATAAGAGAAAATTTTAGAAAGGACTCAATTTTAATCAAGTTCTTGCTAATTGACCAGTTTTACCTATTTGGCATGACACACACACACACACACACACACAGTTTTGCTTCTTGTATTCTATCTTCCTAGCAGATGTTCAATTTTAATTTCTCATGAATCCAAGATAAATGACTTGTCAAAATCTTTATTGCAAATCATCCAAAGCATAAAATGTGTACCCAATTTGTTGTGATAGCATCCCTACGGGCCAGGATATCCAGATGGTTCAGTATGCTAGCATCCACCGAGCTACAGAGGCTCTGCGTACTCTGAAGGGTCGTGAACATTCACCTCATCCTTCTACTGCAACTACCACCACTCAGGCTGATACTCTTACTCGCTCACGTACAGCTAGTCCTTCATCCACTCTCCCTCGAAATTCCACACTTAGGTAAGAATAGCAATGTCTTTAAATGTGAATTAAATCACAATACCATGGTCAGTTATTATTGCAATACTTTGAGAGAATATAAATGATGTACATATCTTTTATGGTGTAAATGGCATTGAGATGTAATATTGAGTACACAGTTGATACTTGTACAAGATGTGTTAAAGAGCAATATTTGTATATCAAGTTACTTGTGTACTAGAGGAGGGCTCCGCTTTATGCCATTTTGCTAATACAGCAGTTTTCAGTTATACTCCTTCTTCATTTATTCAGACTTCCTACAGTAAATATATTCACCACTCACTATAAGCTAATGATGAAAATATTTAACCCTTTGACTGTTTCAGGCCCCTCTCTGAAACTGTCATTCTATGTCGCTCAATTTTTGAAAAAAAAAAAAATTATTTTTTCTTATGAAATGATAGAGAATCTTTTCCCGATGTTAATGACACCAAAAGTTTGAAATTTGGTCGAAAACTCGTGGAATTATACTCCCGCGAAGTTAGCGGTCTCGGCGACATATGCGTATCGGCGATTTCGCCGACTTTGAGCCCTATTTTCAGCCAATTCCATTGTTCCAGTTGACCAAACTCATAGCTATTTCTTTAGAACTCCATTTTATCTATCAGCTGAGTACAAGAAACCTCCCATTTACTAATTTGGACTACCCAATATGGTGGTCAGAAATTGGCAATTTGGCCAATTTCACGCAAAATAAAAAAGATGCCAATTTCAAAATAGGGTCCAGAATAAACAAGGTAGACATTCGTGGCACTAAAATAACATATGCTCTGTTCATTAGTCACATCTCTAGGCCCCTCTTATATTATTATTGCTTTCTATTTTGATTTTTTATTCATACAAAAAAATACAAAATTTACTGTTATGCAGACGACTGCATTATTGTAAAAATGGTATAAATAATATCAGTGCACTAGTGAAAGAATATTAGACTCCCCAGTTGACGTGTATTGGACGTGTGGTGTGATTTATTTACTCTTGAACATTGGTAAAAATCGAACATTTCCGCTACTTTGAGCTCAGTTTCAAGGTCGTTTTCATCGTAAAAGTAATGAAAATCATCTCTATTTCTGTAGTATGTTTTCCATTTTATCACCTAAGACCATGAAAACGCGAATACAACGATAAATACTATACGAAATTACACCTCAAAGTCGGCGTTTTATTCCAAAAAAACGATCAGAGTTTTTTTTTTCTCATTACGCAATGTGTGCTGCAGGATTTTTTTTATGTGGTGCACACTGACCACACAGACCCATTCTCTCACATGTGGGCCTACCAGCTTTCTCCCACTTGATTTGAAGCCGCTAGAATTATTGAGTATATATACGTCAGAAACATTGGCTCGTAAGACGTATTTATACGTCGAAAACAGTCAAAGGGTTAAAGGTAAGATATCCTGTCTATGGGCAATGTGTGGTGTAAATATTAATCAGAGAATTCATAGTGTGGAAATTAGGAGAAGGTGTGGAGTTACTAAAAGTTTGTCAGAGGGCTGAAGAGGTGGTTTGGTCATTTAGGGAGATAGGAACAAAGTAGAATGACTTGGAGAGCATATAAATCTGTAGTGGAAAGAAGGTGGAGTAGGGGTCGTTCCTGAAAAAGGTTAGAGGGAGAGGGTAAAGGAGGTTTTGTGGGCGAGGGGCTTTGACTTCTAGCAAGCATGCGTGAGCATGTCAGATAGGAGTGAATGGAGACGAATAGTTTTTGGGACCTGATGAGCTGTTGGAGTGTGAGCAGGGTAATATTTTGTGAAGGGATTCAGGGAAACCAGTTAGCCGGACTTAGAGTCCTGGAAATGGGAAATACAATGCCTGCACTTTAAAGGAGGGGTTTGGGATATTGGCAGTTTGGAGAGATGTCTAAATTGTCGCATCTGAGTGCCTCTGCAAAGACAATGATTATGTACGAATGATGGTGAAAGTGTCAGCATAGTTGCTGATCCCCTTATATATGTTATATAGATTAGCTGAGTATCATAGTACCATCCATGTGCTTTATATAGAAGCTCCCTAGGCCTGTGACTGTATGACGTCACGGGGTACAGCTTGAGTCAGTGTGAGACGCGCTGCCTCACTCTCACTCGGCGTATAGACATCCAGGCAGCAGGCAGGCCTGGGCTCCTGCCTCTCATCACAGTCTGACAATACATAGTGTTACCATCCAACAAGTGTGTCTCCCTTCAACCCTCGTTTCTCCTACCGAACCCCATACGACAAATTGGTGGCAACAGAGGGCCTGTAATTCTGACGATTACAGCGATTTCTGGAGATAAATTTCTACTGAGCCGGTCGCCATCTCCTGACGTTAGGCCGACCTAGCCGGCCAGCTACCTCAAGCCAGCTACCCCGACCAAGCTTCTACCAGTCTCTACATTATTCACTGGTCAGTCTCCTTGTATTAGTGTTTATCTGCTTATTTGCATCACTCCCGAGGGGTTGACCCGAGTTTGCAAAATAAGCCAGCAGCCAGTCTGTGGTGAGGGAGTCAGTCAGCCTAGCCTACTCCATCCAGCCTTTGCCTGCCAAACCAGCTTTCCACCCCTGCTGTGCTCATCGTTAGAAGTTATCAAGCCATTCTGTGTGAAGGGTTAAGATAAGCCAAGCCAGCCAGCAACTAACCCAAGTGACTAACCCAGTACTCAGCAAACCACGTGGGTACAGTCTTCATCGCTTGTGCTTCAAGCTCCAAGCCATTCTGAGTGCTTTTTCATCCCTGTGGTGTTGTGGTATTTCGTGGGTTTGTTTTAAGCCAGCCGGCTTAGTGTTTTCGCGCCAGTGAGGGTGTCCCCAGTGAGGCTTACGCCGTTCATTCCATAGGCCCAGTCACCACGCGGTGTGTCCCACTACCGCCCTGCCTCAGCTGCCTCACTCACATACCACTACCACTGTTTTTGTACTCTTACGGGTCCTAGCACCATATTTTAAGGACCACATAGGGGTCAAGAGCTTGAGTGTATTCTTTCGTCAGTGGCGCCACCTTTGAAAGCCTCCTGTGTGAGTCAATCGTCGATGTAAGTGCAAATTCTACGATCATGTGTGGACAGTAGCCAGCCACGAGACGATAGCCTCCATCCTCCAACCTTCTGCCTAATTCTTCACCAAGCCGCTACAGTGATAATATTTTTCATAGAGACATTTGCGAGTGTTGAGACATTTCTTTTTGTGTTTCCAGTGATTTCTTAGTGACATTCAGTAACTCTTGATTAGACTCAGTGTTTATTATATACTGTTTTCAATATTTTTTTTTCTTCTTAATTCAGTGTTAATTTCCATGCATTATCTTATGTCTGTTGTGTTGTGCTTCTTTTTTTATACACTTGAAGTAAGTACCTTAGTGTTTTTTCCTTGTGTGCAACACATATGAGCAGTATAGAACTTGTGTTTCCACTTCACAATCACCTTGTGTTCACAGTATCGCAGTGAAGTAATTCAGTAATTTATTACCTCTTATTCTGGATCACAACTCAGTGTTGTCTGTTATATTTTCCTCCCAGCATTTGTGTATTCTTGTTTTGTTGTGTGTTGAACATTTTTGTGTTAATTCCTTTCATTTAGCCAGTGTCTAATTTGTCTTATTTCCACAGACAATAGTGCCATTATTTTGTGCAAGCAAGAAAATTATTTTTTCCAAATTTTTCACACCAAGTTCCATAGCAAGAAAATTCTAGTATTGTGTTTATATTGATGTGTTGTGTTCTGCATCACTGTAAGTGTTCAAACCTTTTGTTCTGTGTTTTTGCATCTACTATTTTCATGTTTCATTGAACAAATTTACTCTTAGTGCAATTTTTGAGCTCTTCTTTTAAAGTAAATTGTTCTTTTGCTTGTTCAGTAAGTGTTGCTTAAGCTGCAATTAAGAGTTAAAGTGTTCACTCAGTTCATTCCTTGATAATAATTTTTTATTCTTGTAAACTGTATTTTCTTGTGTGTGTAATTTTTTTTATTGCACATTGACTCATTTTGCAATAATTCTTGTGCAAGCATTGTGTTGCCATTAAAATTTTTCTTGCAGAAATTTTATGTAGTATGTGCAGTACTTTTGATTAGCAATTGTTATTTGCAGTATTGCTACAGTTTATTTCAGTGCAGTTTCTTATGCTCTGTTCTGTGCATAATATTTTATTCTTTGTGTGCCATTTTATTTTATTTTTAGTGAATTGTTCTCCCAGTTTGTCTTAATTTTGCACAAGATTTATTGAGTCCAATTTAACATTTTGAGTTTCATCATTTTATTGTTGAATTTCCTATTGCATTGAGAGTAAAGACTGTCCCAATTCATTAAAATTTTAAAGTAAAGTTGAGCAAATTAGATTTGAGTAAAGTACAAGTTCTCTTGATTTTCAAAGTGTTGTTTATTCAGTTGAGTATTTTCTTGTGTGAGTTTCCTTGCTTACATGGCCCTGTCAATTTTTAATTACTTATGCAGAATAGTTAAGCATTTTCTTCCCATTTAAGTTAAACTGTGTTGTGTGTTCCTTAGTTACTTTTTTCTTTTATTCTTTCTATTTTTTTTTTGCCTTATGCCTAGAGTAATTTCCCCTGAGAACATTCCCATCACTTTTGAATGTTCACTTAGTGTATCATGCCAGTCAAAGTCAATATGAATCAGCCCCACAGTACCAGTTTTCCCCTTACTGACTGAAAGACAATACCTAGCCCTTGAGCAATGTGTTTGTTCTCACAGCTTGTATCTGAGATTTGTTAAAGTGCTGCGAAATGTGAAGTTCAGATTAAGTTCCTATAGATTCGTTCATTACTTATTAACGTAGCTGAGCGGTCAGGCACTAGTAACTCTGTCACTCCATCTGTTTCCACCTACACCTTCAGACATTCAATGATAGTGTATTGCCTTAAGTTCCGAGGACACTCAGACTGCCTTGAGTGCTCAGCCTATCTCTGTAATGCCTGCTAGTCCAAGTAGTAGTTTCTCCACAGGGGATGCCTTGTCGGAAAACGATTACTTGAAACTAGTAATGC